CGCAGCAACAAGCTCCACGTCCCAAGGCAGAGACGCAAGATCTTCTCACCTCTCCGTTTGAGCTCGAGCTTCCCTCGTTCGCACCCACCGGCCCGGCGCCCCCAATCCCACCGAATCCTGAGAAGGACGGCCTACTACGCGCTGTTTCCAAGACTCTAGCAGAAACACTGCAAGCAAATGTCGCACAGTCCGAGACTGCCGCTCAATCCTTGATTTCTCAATCCCACTCGCTGCATGCGGCAATTGCCACTCTTCAAGGCGAAGTATCGTCGCTCAACACACTCAATGCGACTCTTCAATCAAACACCACAACCCTGCAGCAATCTCTCATGCGCGCAGATGGCGTCATCGCCGATGCGCAAAGCCGTATATCATCTTCAGCCCCGTCATCGAGCACAGATCCCGTTGCGTCGGGTCTTCCACCGATCGACGAAGTTCTCGTCGCCCCGACTGTTGTCGGCAAACAATTGTACGACTTGGTTGCGGAGGAACGCGGTATCCAGCAGGCCATCTACGCCCTTCAAGCTGCGCTGGTTAAGGGTGTCATTGGTGTTGAGACCTGGTCACGTCACACGCGTGGTCTTGCGCGTGAAGCGTTCTTGAAACGGGCATTGATACGGAAGATAGGCAAAGGCATGGGATTGGAAGTGCATTGATGTTATGATGATGGGATCACTCTTTTGATTGCGAGACCCATGTAGACGGATCTGTAAATAGATACCCACAAGGTCGATACATGTTGGCCAGACAATGTACATAGCTTGGCGTCCGTAGTTGGTTTGAAATAGCAAGGTGCAAGAGCACTATTCCGTACGATTTTCAACAATCAGGAAACAGAAGCAAGATAATCAGCTAGAATTAGAAAAACCCAATGACCAAACGTTTTCAAATCCATAACATTCGACACAACTACCCGACAGTAAGTCATCCCCACAACCATTAATTCCAACCCCCATTCCACCAAATTCCACTATGCCTATACAATCTCCAACCAACACACCCCCCACCCCCCTCCCCCAGTAACCCCATGCTGGTACTTCAAACCAAAACCCTAAACCACAACCCCCCCAACAACAGCAACAGCACCAACCAACCCAAGCATCCACCCCCTCACCTCAGCAGAAACACTACTACCACCACTCGACTTCGTCTCCTCCGCAGCCTTCGCCTCCCCCACCCCCGTCGCCGCAATCTGCATCTTCACCTCAGCAAAGTAACTCTGCACATCCGTCGGCAGCGCCTTATACCACTCGGGGGTATTCCCAGCGCTGAACTCACTCGCCATGGCGACGCGCTTCGCGGGCACGAAGAGCTGCGCGAGCGCTGTGGGAGGAACGGCTGTGATGACTTGGTGCACGACGGCGTGTGGTGGAGGGGATACGCTCTCTAGGTTGGGAGGTGGTTGGGTTTGTGATGGGAGGGAGGGTTTTCTGTATGAGATTAGTATTAGTAAATGTGCATTGATAATGTGGGATTGTTTTGGTTTGGTTAGAGTATTGGGAGAATGGAAGGCACGAACAAGGCTTGCGCGAGAGCGACGAGGTTGTTGTCGTTGAGGTTCACATTGGGGATGGGTTCCGGGGCACATATGGCTGTGGTGGCTAGGAGGGTGGGGAGGAGGAAGAGGGAGGAGAGGCGCATTTTGGTGGTGTTATTTTTGTTATTAGTATTTTTTTGGGGGATATTGTTGGTTTTGATGGTGAGTGAGGTTGGAGGAAGTAGTAGAAAGAGATGTACTACTGGAGGGTGAAGCGTAGTAGTAGATAATAGTATATGGGACGGAATGGGTTGGGACTGACTGGGACAGGGACAGTTAGGGTGCAGGGGCACACCATCATATGCATGGGAACTGGTTCAACTTGGACCGAGATCCGATGTGTGAGGGGAATAAACGGATAGGATCGTCGTGGAGAAGGGCCCGGGCTAAGATTGAGGGATCTGCATACTTAGGGGAACTTCTGAAGCGTAGTCTGGGCTTTTAGTTTGAGACTCATTTTTAGAGTTGGATTGTGCCCTATGCTTTTTGGGTATAGAGTGGACGGGTGTAACCTATTGTGGATGGGAGATAGAAATAGGGTGAAACGGGCTAGATTTGAGTGGGCGTAGAATTTAAATGTTAAGTTGGGATGTTACTTTACTTCAGGTCTGGAAATGGTCATTGGATTGAGATGTGGCTCGCAATCTTCAGGTAGTAGTGAAGCTTCGCGGTAGATCTCGAATCTTGTATGTCTGGGTAGGTGGATACTACCCTAGGATCTGGCAGGCAATAAATGTTTGACAATATGTGACTTTCTGGCTATTCTTTGTTTGTCGGTGGTTGCCCATGTTCAATGATGGGCAGATAGGGCTATACTCCGATCACTTTGTCCTCAGGACTCCTTGTCATCCACCGTGTGAGACATACTGCTACTTTCTGAGTTTATAAACCACCAACAAAGGAATGACCAAAGATACACCTCCCATTGTTCGACAGAATTCAAGGAAGCTGCCCAGAATGCACAGCAGTTGGTACCTTGGATCGTGTGAACCTCGGCTCTGTTAATGAAGATACTCTGTTGGTGCATTCAAGGTTCTATCACCACACCATCAACTACAGCTAAACAGTATTGATCCACCACGTGAAGTACCGACATGATGGACGTTTAGGGGAATAGCCCCTTGTCTTCATCATGCCAGACATCCACTCAAAGGTTCGGATCATGCCCGACGAGAATAAGAATTGCCAGCAAATCTCCGGTGTAGAGCAAAAAGCAAGAAAGACAGAAACAATATACTTTGAAGACCACCGATCTTGTGTAACCATAAAAGACCCTCAACATCCACGAAAGAGAATATGCAGATGCTTTACAGATAAATGACTGCGATCTAAAAATGGCTTCCACAAATCCCTCATCGCAAGTGCCCTGGTTCGAGATGGAGCCAGCTAAGAATGGGATGAAGTCAGCTGAAGCGGTTACTATCTGGCTGCAAAAGGCCAGAATACCCTGTGCTTTCATTGGAGAGGTCGCTTTGGAAAGCTACGGCGTCGAGATTCCCGTCAGGCTGGTAAGTTCTTCACCCATACCCTGCTATGCTAACATTCAAGAAGAAGGAAAGATAGTAACACAACTCTACAGGGAACCACCCTCATTGTCGCCGACGCAAAAGTACACGAAGCAGCCGAAGCTCTCCGTACCAACGGCCTCGAGCCCTGCAATGGAGACGAGAATTGCGACTGGGAGAACGATGCTCTGACTGAAGAAGCGTCATCACCGGCGCCCTATCACTTCCACCTTGATCATGGCCCACAAGGTATCCCTCCATTTTGGTGTGAGTCGCTCAAATTGCACAAGAAGTCTGGTATTGATCCAAAGCTGCCTGATCCTGGACTGAGTGTTCCACGGCCTGAGGACCGGAATTACATGGTTGTTACGGACCCTCGCTTGCCGCAACTGGGGCATTGGAAGAGCAGGACGTATCCCGTTCAGATTCTCTCAAAGCCACGGTTTTTTGAGACAATTTTCAACCAGGCAAAAAGTCATCCAGATGGATTGCCTGATGATCACCTCACCCCCTGGGAATGGAATGTGTTCCGGCTGAAACAGATGGGTGATGGTGGACAGCCGAACAGCCACATAGTTGAGGGTCTTGAAATGCCGGCGCGTCGGTACATTGAGCTCTTCAATATGGAAGACCTTAAGCCCAGCCGAGAATTCATCGCTCAGGTGAGACTTGAGAGAGGGGGGAAGGGTTTGTAAAGGTGGTAGATTTTCAAGTGATGACCTGGTAGATACTGTAAAGATAGCTAGAGAGGATGTCCAAATGGATTGCCCTTTTAATGCTTAGTCTTCTTCGTGATGTTCACTTCACCCACAAAACATACCATACACTATAACATAGAGATATTTAGAGAGCTCTATTATCTGGACCCTAAAGGTAGTAGCCATACAATGGCTTAGTCTCAACTAGCTTGTCCTTAGCGCTACCAGATGCTTTGGTTAATAAAACCATAAAAATCTAGCAAAATATATCTGCTGGCCTGCTGGCCCAATGGTAAGGCGCTTGACTACGGATCAAGAGATTGCAGGTTCGAGTCCTGCGTAGGTCATACTTTTTTGCCGCCACCCATTTCCCAAGGAATCTTTTTATCCCCTTCTCACCCCAGTATGAATTAACAAATCAACCAAGGTCATTCATTGTTTTGGCATAAAATCCTTAGGTTAGAGTGCATAGTAACTCTTTGGTCTCATAATCCGCACTTAAACTTTTGGTTGAGGCAAGACATTCGTGCGATCCTTCAATCCTCCTGCATATTCCCTGCCCCCTTGAGTAAACATTGGCTATTATAAGGCCTACGGTTAGGGTATAGCTAGATCTATGAGCTGGCTGAACATTTCGGTTTGGGGCCAGATACTTAAAGGCTGTGGTAACTGAGAAAGAGAACAGACATGAATTTCGGGCTTATTTGTTTTTTATGTACTATGGAAAGCATACGCCTTCTTATAAGTGCGCAGTGGCCGTGGCTAAAAATATGCTATTGCGGTGAAATGCAAGCCATTTAAGCACGATATCTCTCTACTATCAGCCCTCGCAATTTATATTTAGAGCTTTAGTGCATCCTATAAGCTCTAGCACTAATTCATAAGCGGCTGTTATGACACCCTGCCCTTTTTTCTTTTGATTGGATGTGATGCTCGTATTTTGAGCTGCTAAGAACACGGGACAATATGCAAGTAGGTCTTGAGATTGCCGCTCATTACATGGGCCATTTTGTGTGCTAGAGCCCAGTTTATCTATCACGACCAGTCTCATTAACGTAAACCGAATAGTAAGCCTTGAACCTTGGGACATCAAGGTGGTCGATTTCTTATCGACGTAAGCTACCGATCTTTTCCTATCTCTAGCTAGTTTTGGAAAGAATCACTGGCAATTTCAAAAACGGTAGTCATTTCTCTCAATTTAGAACAAGATCCACAGCTCAGAATCCAGTACATGAAACTCATATTACATTGCATACATGCTTAGGTTCCAACAACGCCTGATGTTTGTAGCAAAGGCCCTGAAGGAACCTAATGGGTATTCTGCCCGGCAGATGTTGAATACTCCCTCCGTCGCGTACATGCATGGTGCCTGTACCGTTTTCGTAGATGTGGTGTGTCCTCGCTGAACCGTTCTTCGGCTTGATCCTGGCGCTGATTATATTGGCCGGGTCGTTGCGGTTGAAGTGGGATTTGTGGATAGGGTTGCTTCCATCGTTGCGGTGCCTGCATGATATATAGTCAGTAATGAGCAATATAAAAGAGCGAACGTGCTCGAGCATTTACAAAATCTCCACGGATTCGATCTCGCCAACTTTCTAAGTGACTGTTAGAATACTTTTCCTAGAGATTGGAGATTTTCGAGGACAGTCACCATACCTTGACGGCGCCATTATTGACATAAGTGAAGAAGGCGTCATGGAAAGGGGGTTCAAGGTTTTCGGCAGGAAAGCCCCAAAAACGTATAAGGGCTGCTCTGGCAGAGTGGAAAGACCTCTTCATGGACATGGTTTCGGATGCTTTATTAACGAAAGCTGGTACTTGACGTACAAGTAAGAATTCTCTGAGATTAACTCGAATTATCTTGTCAGTGTACATTATCAGCGGGTGTTCTGTGGGATTTTGTGTTCGAGGAGCATGCTTTGTAGGAACGCAAGGCTGCGCATCATGCTCGGGACGCTTTCAAATGTGCGTCAGTTGTCGCCCATATAGTTTGATCCTGCGGATCCTTTTCGTTGGGGAATGAACATCATCCAGTAGGAGGCTACCAGACGTGCACCTGTAGCGCGAACTTGACCAGAGGAGCGGGCAGTCTTATTACTGAAAGGACCTGGTGAGGCCATTCATTATGACTCTAACTAAAACCCCATTCTAGCGGTCCCCAACAGCGGCTGAGGATCGAGAATTGAAGCCGTGTTGGCCGACGAGATCACTAGGCAACACTTTCACTCAGTAGCCTATAATGTATCCTGGGCGTTGCGCTTCTGTTGTGGGTATGTGAGGCGTAGGGCACCGGTGCTGGTTCACAGTTTGTTTGGATGAAGATGCATTGCTCGTCATTCTAAGCGGTTAGCTGTAGCCATTGATTGGAGAATGATACAATGGCCTACGGCGTACATTGCGAATTATTGATGATATTCTCTGGATATGGTCGCAATGGGTATCCCGGCAGAAAGTAAGTATAGCTAAGATTATCTTGCTTTGGAACCTTGCATTGTTTCAAAGCCCTTCCGCGTAGTATTGTTAGAGTGCTCAATATTCTCTTGGAGCCTTCAAGTCTTAAGGCAGAATGAGGCATCAACACATAAGTTTTACATGATACGCATAACTTACGTCACGTGCCCGCGTAGGCGCCGGCATCTTCCCATGTCATCGCTCCTGCGCGCAGGTTACCTTCTGCAAACTCTCGAATAAGTGCTAATTCCTACAAATAATCTCACACATTTGCATGCTATGGACAAAGAAATTTTCAAGAATAACACAGAATACTTTCATCGGCGTCTCTTTTGTTGATCTCGATTTCAACGTTCAGTCTGGGCATTCCTATTGGTCTTGACTAGCCGCCCTGTCCAGGATAGATAGTAGTGCACTCCCTACGGAGTAACACAAGCCTCTATACGCGCTTCTCAACGGATTGGGTCTTCTTTGTGGAGGGTTACCTGGCTTTATTATAAATCCTGGGCCCCGGCTGTCCTCTTTGAGCGACCAGAATATAATTAGCATACTGAAGTCTATATCAGATTATTATACTATCTCATCGATCCACGAGATTCTATACGACGGAGTTACCCCTCTTCCCTCAGACAATGTTTACATCGCTTTTGCGATCTTTGCCCCAGCTCGGGCGGCGAAGGAAACGTCTGGAATTCTCTAACGCTGACTTCGTTCGGATACCCGAATGGCACAAAATCGAGGAAGAGACTCTCCCAGATTATACCGCCTCACAATTCTATCCAACTCGGATAGGAGAAGTCATCAAAGACCAGTATCAGGTCATTGGCAAACTGGGATATGGATCTACTTCAACCGCGTGGCTTGCCCGGGACATGGAGTGGGGAACCCCCTTTTCTTTCTTCCCATAAATGAGTCTATCTGAGATACTCATACTTCATAGAAACCGCCGTTATGTTATGCTCAAGATATGCATCGAAGCTTCGTCTATGGGTCAGCATGTCGATAACGAGCTTAATATGTACAAATTCATGGAACAGTCCCCAACCACGCATCCCGGCCGCGAGGTCATCAGAACGTTACTGGATACTTTTTACATCGACGGCCCTCAAGACAAACATCGTTGCCTTGTGCATCCCCCATTATGGGAAAGCGTGCTAGCTTTCTTGCGCCGCAATCCAGTTGAGAGGCTACCATCCGCAGTCATTGCTGTTGTTCTTCATCGCTTATTTCTAGCACTGGACTTTCTGCATACGGAATGCAAGATCGCGCACACAGGTTTGTAGCCCGATATATATACCCGTTTCTATGATTCTCACTTTTTCTTTTTAACACTTCAAGATATCAAAGCCGATAATATCATGTTCGGTATCAAAGATGACTCAGTCTTCACGGATATAGAGGAGAACGAATCCCGACGACCCGTCCCGAGGAAGGAGGGCGATGAGAGAACAATATACATGTCACGAGAACTCAAAGTACCCAGAGAAGTTGGTGCCCCGGTTCTGTGCGATTTTGGTTCAGCCATGGTCGTCAACGATGAATATCAGAGGGTATTCATTCAGCCTCAGATCTATCGAGCACCGGAGGTGATATTAGGAGTTCCATGGACGTATAGTGCTGATATTTGGAATGTTGGATGCATGGTAGGACAAAACGATATAAATCTGTCCACAGATTTACTAATACTTTAGCTGACAGATTTGGGATCTGTACGAAGGCGGTTCCTTGTTCACCGGGCAAGACCCTGTAGATGAGAGGTACAGGAGTCGAGCGCATCTTGCCGAGATGATTAATCTTCTTGGCTCGCCGCCTGCTAGTCTGCTTGCACAGGGGGAGCTGAGAGATAAATTTTTCTCGAGTGAAGGTGGTTACACCGCACCTCATGCGATTTGTCTCCTATTTACTAATTCGTTGAGTATAGGTGCTTTTCTCCACCCGGAATTATTAACTGATCAGGTTCCCCTTGATGAAAGGGAAACTACTCTGGAGGGGAGGGCGGAGAGAGAGGCGTTCCTACATTTCATGCGGAAGATGCTACAGTGGGAGCCGAGAAAGCGCAGCTCTGCTCGGGAGTTGGCGGAGGATGAGTGGTTGCATAGTCACATGAGGTCCTAGACCAGTGCTTTTTACTCAAATGTATGTCTCGCAGTACTACATACATAGAACTCTCATATAATACTAGTATAATTGCCTATGTTACAGACCATTACAGTATAGTATAAGCGTCATAAAGATCAGCGCTCCGTAGTCTCTCAAGGCTATTGTTCTTTTACTCATGGTGCATACTTTAGATCCTTACTCCCAACCTACAAGGTCACTCTTTGAAAAAATTAAAAAGAAACAAAAATAGACAAAAAAAATCAATAACTCCATTCCCATATCAAACAGTCATGTCAATCATATCGTATCACATAACTTCAACTCCCTTCCATCCATCTCTCATCCGGAGGGAGTGGATCAATACCTCTTCTGAACCTCACTCTCGACCCCCCTCTCCCTAACCTTCCCCTCATCATGCACATCCCTCCACTTCCTCTCCTCCTCCTCATCCCCCGTCGCCGCAGCCGCGACCTTGCCCACAGCTCCCTTAGCCCTACCCTCGACTCCCTCCTTCCAATCCCTCACTTGGCCCTCCGCCTCCGCCTGCTTTCCAGCCGCATTCTGCTCCTGTCCAGCCTTCCTCAACCCCTCATTTCCAATCAAGTTGCCTAGGGACTCCTTCGCAGAACCGACGGTCTGGTCCCAGCTGCCGTTGCTGCGCTGCGGGTGGTCTGTGGCCGCAGCGCCCGTGGCAGGGTCGGCGGTAACGGGACCGAGCTTGGTGAAGTTGTTGTGACTGGCGTTGTGCTCGGCTTCGCCGCGGGATTGGGTGGCAGAGCCGGTGGACTAGATGGGGGTTGTTAGTTTGTGGGGTTGATGGTGATGGGGATAGGAAGGGAAACGAACCTGGGTGGAGGAGTCGCCGGTTAGGGAGCCAGCGGCGCGTTGGACCATGCCGGTTGCTTGGTCGACGTAGGATTTAAGGGTCGAGGTGGTGGTGGTTGTGTTGTTGTTGGGGGAGTCGGTGGAGGACATTGTGGTTGTTGGTGTGTAGTGTTGGTTTTTAACAAATGTAGTAGAGAGTAGATTGATTGTAATGTAGTGTAGTGTAGTGTAGTAGTGGTTATTTGCTTCTTTGTGTAATGCTGTGTTGATGGTGTTGATGTTGTGGGTGTATTTATAGATAGATGGTGGTGGTGAGTCCGGGGTACATGACGTCAAACACCGACGTCATCGCCAGGCACGGCAGAGTCGAAGTGACACCAAAATGGATCCGCAACAGGAACAAAAGGGGCAAGGAGGCAAATAGGCAAGTAGGAATGACGTCCAATCTCTCATGCATTCATCAGTCTCGTCATAATCAAAGTATTCATCGCTCTATGTACATCGATCATCCCCCCCTCGTCATCGTCATCGTCATCGGCTGTCCCAATGCTGATAGAGAAAACACCGACCCGCTCATTAGTGAATCATGAACAAACAAAAACAAAACCATGCAGCATCTATTCCATGCAATGCTACCAATGACAAATGCCACCCTCACTGTCATCTGCTGCCCATGTCCCTGACAGCCCCACAACCTGGAGATGTCCATCGTGGTCCTCGTCCACTTTGCTCAGCGCCGCGAAGCTAGACTCCGACGGTCCTGTACTCAACAGCCGACGGGCCCATGCATCGATCGCTGGCTCGCCCGTCTCGTCCCGTGCTTGTTTCAGGAACGGGATCAAGGCTGTTCCACCCGTGCCCCTCAATTTCTTGCTGTCCGGCTTTTCGCCGTTTCGGGCGGTCGCTAAGTTGATGGGTCTCTTGGGACTGGTTGCGCGCGCTGGGCGACTGGATCGAGCGTCCCGAGATTGAATAATGATATAGCGGGATACGACTTGGATGTGCTTGTCGCGCATTGCCCGAAGCATAGACAGACATGCGTCGTATGCAATGCAGAGTGCCTTGTCCGACCGTCGTGCTTCCACGTACTGCCGGATGTTGGCCACTGCATTGACATGCTCCAAGAAGCGACGGTGCGCTGCGGGCATGTATGTACGCATCTCCTGGATAAAACCGTGACGTGGTGCCCCAGCAACTCCCTCTTTCTCGTCCTTTATCGGGGTGCTGCTCGGACGCGTCTCCCCGGTCGGACGGTGCTCAATGCCCAGAGCGATGTCGAAGAACTGGATCAGTGAGCTCTGGGCGTTGCTACCGCCGCCATACTGTCGATACTTGGGCTGCCCGTTTCCATAATCGTACAAAAGACCATGCGGGAGACCGGCATCAGCCATGTTCTTGCTCCCAGCCAGGTAGGGCCGGATGCGGTGGTAGAACACGTACGGATCGCAATGCTCGTACATGCGCTCCAGCAGCGACCCTACCTCGTCCAGCACCTCGGCAAGTCGCTGCAGGCATTCGGTGACTACCAGACTGTTTCCAGCCCGGGCCGCCGCAATTGCTTGCAGCACCAGCGGAATCGAGGGTGCCCCACGAGCTTCAATAGCAACTGAGACCAGGTAAAACCACTTCTCATCCAAAGACCCTGTGAATGTGTTGATGGTGTCCAGATTACGTAAATCATCGATCGGTTCCTCCGGGAAAATAGGCTTATAGTTCCACAAACACACCCCTGCATAAGTGGCCACGGGTGGCAGACCCAGGTGCTCGCAGACGTCGAATAGTGGGACGGTCAGCTGAGGCGGGATTTTCTGGTCACCACAATTAGCTCAGGAACCACTTTGTAGCTTTGTGTTACTTACCTCTGCCGGCTTGCTGCCTCCCCACACATACCCATGCAGCATGAATACCAGTACGACATAGGCCCTGCGCCACTCGTTCTCCGCCTGGAGATATGATGTAGACAGCGTGGACATATGGTCGACCACCTCCCGGATCCTCCGGCTAGTCAGAAGTGCCTGCAGGTTGGAAACAACCCACTCCCACTTGGCATAATAAGGGTCTGGCAAGATCTCAAGCGGTGGCTCTGGAGGGAGGAAGCCATGGTCCGCCGAGATGCCGTAGTCCGCCAATGCTGGAATCGGAGGAAGCATGATGATGGGACGGCTCAAAACAACCTAAACGACACAATATACGAGTCGGGGTGAGTGGAAATGCCCAAAGAGCCAGCGACGAGGCCTAATATTAATGTAGTAGATGCTCACGTGCGAGTGGGCTCACAGCGAGGGCAGTCGCGTAAGGTTCGCTGATTGTCCGGGACTTGACGTCGAGCGGAATAATATGGAAGCTCGGAGGAAGGAGAGGTTCCAGTGCCCGGACGTGAGTCCGGACAATCTCTAGGAAAGCAACAGTCGTGTGACGCACACACTGCGACAAAGCAGGCGAGATCCCAACCGACCAAGTAAAAGCCGACAAGATCGGACACAAACAGAAGTAGGTGTCGTGTCGGGCCTGTTACGGACGCCTCACAACTGCGATGCAGTCAGGAAAACAAGGCTTCGGTTGATCTGACCCAGGTCACAGCAAGACGAGCAAGGCTCAGAGCAGGAGACCAGGCACGAGAGGCAACGCCAGGTCTGGTAAGTGTCAGAAAAGTGAGGTTTGTGAAGGTCACGGGAACAACCGGGACAGACTTGGACACAAAAGATGGCGAGATGAGGAAGGGAAAGGTAAAGAAGAAAGGGGAAGGAAAATTTGCTCAAACTAAGCCCATCGTACAATGGTCCTCTCCCAAAGTTAAATAATCAGCGACCATTTTCCACCAGGACAAGTTCCCAGGAAAGCCGCGAGGACCGAATAGCCGGACGAGAGAATTAATCAGCCTGGCGACCCAGGGCCAGTCATTCCGTAATAACGGTGATTGTGTCACCCGGAAACCGTCGACCGACACGAAACAGGGGTAGAGCCAGCGATCGTGGAGGTAGTATATTCTGTACCCATGGTGAAGGGTAGGACAGTTGACTAGTCCGTGGATGGACCGTCGTGACCAGAGGTCAAGTGGGCCGGATCCAACTTAAGTGCAGGCCAGACGGGAAAGAGTAGAGGCGAATATTTGCAGTGGCCAGGAAGACGGGCGGTTTGAGAGACAGAGTTTTGGTTGTTGGGAAATCTTGGGTTGATGAAGATATCCGTCATATCAGCAGCGACGGAGAAGGGAGGCGTGAACTGTGAACCATCCCATGGGTAAAGTTGATGGGCGCAGGCGCATCTGGAGTAGATGAGGCCCTTGGGACAGCGCCAGCGGGAGGACTGGGTGCGAGCGAAAGGGGTGTCCACCGGATTCCAGTAGGCTGAGTGCTAGAGAATGAACCGGGACTGCGTGGGAGGGGAGGCCGAGTGCGAAATCGGGCAGTTAAGCGAGCTGGGGGGCGTATTCGCTCCCACCCACGCCACCCCGTTCGGGTCTGCGGTGAGTTGGTCGGCCCCGTGCGGAGCTGCCCATCTTATTTCGACTTCCGACCTCGCTGGTTGGACAACTACTGATCTGCATGATTATCTTTAGTCTTTGACATAGCACATTTCAAATCTGGTTCAATCCACCGGGGAATTTCCGTCTGTCTTTCTTTTCCCACTGAAGACGTGATTAGTGATTACCTCGGCGCCGGGAATTCTCCGCGTCAAACGTCAATCACGTGAGACTATTCCTACTACTATACAGCCAATCATACAGCACCTGCAACTGGCCCGATTCGGTGCCTCCTTCGTGAGTCAGCAGACATGGAAGCAATCACGAGATGCCAGTACTAACTAACTAGATCATGGGTATCTGTCGACAATACTTTCTCCGAATACCCATCAATACCTTGGGGCAATAGTCATGGTCCATATATGCATGACTCGCTGAGGACTATAGACACAAATCACTCAAAGTCACTCCAAAGGTCATCTTATCTTGCACAAGTACTATTTGTTGCCGATAAAGCGTCTGTCTACATACTACTATTCATCTCTCTAGGTCGATCAATTGATTGGTCATTAATATCCATTTTTTTTCGTACAGACTGGACAGATCGTCATCAATCCTATAATGTTACACACTATATGAACGCCATCCCACCGCTGATATCTGGAAAAGAAACAACAAGTATGCGCCTGGTATACGACCATATAACCGCCCTCGCAGTCAGTCTTTAACACAGAAAGAGAAAGTTTTAGTGCTGGCTCCATTCAATCGAGTTCAAATCGATACCCTCCTGAACCATCTCCCACA